GATAAAAAAGATGCCTCGTATTGATAATGATATTAAACTTGATTTTAAAGATGTTTTAATACGACCAAAACGTTCAACATTAAAAAGTCGTGCTGATGTTGATTTAACACGTGAATTTATATTTCGTCATAGTAAAAAAATTTATAATGGTATACCAATTGTTGCATCAAATATGGATACAGTTGGTACATTTGAAATGGCATTACAATTATCAAAAGTTAGTTTATTAAAAAGAAAATAAAAAACAAAATCAAATTTTTTTTTTTTTAGTTAAAATTATTTACAACTATTCATAAACATTATTCAGTTGAACAATGGAAAGAATTTGCTGCTGAAAATAGTGGAATACTTCAAGTAAAAATGTTCTTCAAAAAAAAGCAAAAAGATTTTTTCATTTTGAATATTTTAGAATGTAGCAATTTCAACTGGTATGACAGAAAATGATTTTAAAAAATTACGGTATATTTGATATAGTATAAATGATTTTGTTTTTAAAAAATTGTTTATTTGTTTGTTTTTTTTTTCAGTGAAACTATTAATGCTATACCAGAACTTGATTATATATGTGTTGATGTAGCAAATGGTTATTCAGAACATTTTGTTGAATTTGTTCGACTTGTTCGAAAAGAATTTCCCGAAAAAACAATATTTGTATAAAGATTTTCTTTTAAAAATTGTTATGGTATTTTTATTCTTTTTTCTATTAGGCTGGAAATGTTGTTACAGGTGAAATGGTTGAAGAGCTTATTCTAAGTGGTGCAGATATTGTTAAATGTGGAATAGGACCAGGTTTAGTAAAAATTTCTTTTTATTTTATTATGTATATATATTTTCTAATATTTTCGACATATTCTCTATTTGTATAAGTAGTGTATGTACAACTCGTTTGAAAACGGGTGTTGGTTATCCACAATTATCATGTATTATTGAATGTGCTGATGCTGCTCATGGTCTTGGTGGACATATTGTTAGCGTAAGTTTTTATTTTCTAATAAAGAAGATATCGAATTAATTGAATTATATAGGACGGTGGTTGTACAAGTCCCGGTGATGTTGCAAAAGCATTTGGAGCTGGTAAGTTTAAATGCGAAAAATCGATTAATAAGATAAAACAAAAAGAAAATGAATATTTTTCGGAACTTTAATTATAACTCTAGACAGAAGATCTAAGATAGTTTATTCTTTTGAGGTTGTTTTTGTTATATCACACACGATTAATCACTTGAAAATATTCCTTTGTTAGGTGCTGATTTTGTTATGCTTGGTGGTATGCTTGCTGGTCATGATGAAAGTGGTACTGGTGAAATAATTGAACGTAATGGACGTAAATTTAAACTTTTTTATGGAATGTCATCAAAAACTGCTATGGATAAACATGTAAGAAATTAATTAATTAATTAATTTGATTTAATATATTGATAAAATAGTCGGGTGGTGTTGCAGAATATCGAGCATCCGAAGGCAAAACAGTTGAAGTACCTTATCGAGGTTCTGTTTTTGGTACAGCACAGGATATATTAGGTAAATATAAAATGATGGAAAAAAACGTTTAGAAACAATGGTTTTTTTCATAATGTTAAGCACGTAACTTCAATCCAA